TTTATTTCAAGTATAGACTTTTTTTTTTTTTTTTTTTTTTTGCATCTGAAAGCTGGTCCCACAATATGATGTACCTTCCTTTCTGCATCTACCATTGCAGAGAGGGCAAGTCTTATGCTGTGGAAGATCTGAGCTTGGATACCAGTTTGTCAGACTGGATGGGACACAGCAGATGGCATGAAGAAGTGCCCTCATTTTACAGAGGAGTGTTACACTAGTTATGTGGATCTTTGGCTTCATCGCAGCATTCCCGTAGATAAGGGGTAATTCTTAACCCAGTCTATTGCCTGGTCTCCTGGGATGAAACACAATCCTGAATTAGGGTGGTCATCTAGCTTTTTATATCCAAAAAAACACACTTCCTATTCAGAAACATTTCAGGTTAAAACATAAGAAGCGGGAAGGGAAAAAGACACCTACTTTTTAGTTCATTGCTCTGTTAGGGGACAGCTGACCTGAGGCAGTATGGGCCCCAGAAACTATTACAAGTTGCTTTTTCTTCTTCCTGGGCAACTGTTCTTGGAAAGATAAAATCAGTCGTTGTGTAAATATAATGTATAGGAAAACCTAGTCAATGTGTTTTGACTGTCTTAGTATTTAAGTATTATCTAAAACAAAAACCATTAAATCTTTTTTTCTTTCCTGATTATTCATCTCATATTTATTATAGAAAATAGTGATGATGCTTGGCATAGAGAATTCGGGGTTCATGGGGGAAATACCAATAGGCTGGCTGTCCCAAGAGGCCTGATGGGGAACATACCTTACCTGGGAGAGGTTACCTTGATCCAGGGTCTGATACCGGCCTCACCCAGGACCGAGTTTTTTCACTGTAGAGAAGGAAATCTATCTCTCAAGGTGAGATTTATGAACTGAGCTCTAAATCCAATGCCCACAGACTAACTTTCAATAAGATCTAGATCATCACCACAACCGAAATGCGAGAAACCACACAGTCAGCCCTTCCTTCCCTTTGGACAGATTGACTTTACCTGTGAAGCCAAATAATGCTCCTGAGGTACCTAGAGGTCATGAAATATAAACATGGGACTTAGAGGAATCTGCCCTTCCAAATCACTGGCTGAGAGTCTGGATCAAGTCCGTGTTAGGAATACTCTTGCATCAGACCTCTGACAGTCCAAGCCCACGGCCAGGCCTGGTGACAGATCCTGTGCAGCTGTTCCCTGCCTGCACATTTACCCTTTTTTTTTTTTTTTCTTTTTTTTTGAGAGAGAGATATTTTTGCTATAGGGCTTATGCGTGTGCTAGAAAGATAGAAAGTGAGAAATCACCTCCCCAGGGGGGATGGCTACACCACAATCCCTTCTCCTCTTGGGATTTTGGGCACAGATGCACATGCACCAAGTGAGAGTTTTAGGTCCCTGGGTCCAGGACTCAAACTGCAGTTGACTCAAGTCCAGCAATATAACCATTGCGCCATCTGCTGGTCACTGCATTTCAGTTTTCTTTGGCTTCCAGAATGGCTCCTCTTTGCCACCCAAGGCCTTGAGTCAGCTGTGGTTTTAGATGTCCCCCTCAAAAGCACTGTCTTGATCTTCTAGCTTTGTTTTCTTTATTGACAGTCCCTTGCATGATGCTCCACAGTGCTACCCTGAGTCCTAATAATAACAGTATAGGTTAAACTGTCTAATATATAATTTTCAAGTTGCCAAATTGGAGCTTTTGAACAACCTGATCAGATTCAACAGAGTCTTCTAGCTACAAAAGGATATGGAAAGTATTGTGGGTGCTATAGCAACTATAGAAAAGTGCATCCTGTTTCTGGGACTCTTTGTAGACCCGCAGTCACCTCACATTTAAGCATGCAGGAATGGAAATGAGGGGAAGAAATGGAGAGATAAGATATTTGTGAAACACAGACATAGTTTATTGATGAGGATGTGTACATTATTCTCAACTGGACTGCGATGTGTATCATGCTGTGTAAAATCTCTTTACAGTCTAAATGATGTATAGCAATTGAATGTATAAATCATAATAATTTTAAAAAGAAAAATAAAATAAATAAATAAATAGCTGTTTCCCAACATAGGGAGCAGGAGGGAGCCAGAACAGGAAGGAAAGAAGGGAGGCCTTTAATCACAACTTAGAAGAAGATGTAGAGGGAATTAAAATAGAACTATAGGCCTTTGCCACAGTCAAGTCTAATGTCATTTAGGGACAGCTTTCTAGAGGTGAGTATAAAGCAAGAGTGAAAGGAAGAGAAGGAGAATTATATACGGTATTATTGTCCAAAATGGCAGCGAACCAGAGGAAGGCATAACAGTTCACATTTATTAGTGTTTCCTAGGAAATCTGCTGAGTTGACATGCCATAAAAGACTGTTTGTGCCTGCCTGGCACATGCTCCCCTGGCTAGTAAGAGCACCTCAATCTCCCTAGGACTGCCTCTTTCCCATTTAGTCTGTGTTTTAAAAGGAATGGACTCTTCCCAGGGGGATCATCTTGGCCTACCAGATCTCAGCATCTCTCTGGCCAGAGCCATAGGTTGATGATGGGGTCATGTCTCAGAACCAGACTCCATTTCCAAGACTTTTATTGGAAAGAGACTTCCTGGTAGAACTGCTAAAGAAGATAAGATGGAAATCAGAAGTTTGTGGGCAGCCATCTGACACCCAAGTGTACAAAACCTGCCAAAGAATGGTACCAACATGGAATGAACTTGAGAGCTGGAGAGAGCAAGGTTATGGTCAATGGCATCGCTTTGACCCTTGGTTAATGGTGTGCCTGGAGTCAGTCTAGCCTGGACTTCTTAGTTATGAGTCAATAAATTCCCTTTTTTCATAAGCCAATTCCATTTAGGTTTTTGTCAGTTGCTAATGAGAAAGTCCTGACGTGTACACAGGTATACAAACATTTAATAGGATAAACAACTCTTATTTAGTGTTTACTCTGGCCAAGTTCCATATTATCTCACTGCATCTTCACAATAGCTTGTGACATTCAGAGGAACTGGATGGTAAATGACAGGACTGCAATTTCGCTCTCAGTTACCTGAGTAAGCAAGCACCAGATACCACTGTCTTACGTTTTTAAACAGTAGATTCTTTTTTCTCTCAATTTCTTTTATACATTCAATCACATGTCACTTAGCTTGTTAAGTGACTGTTTCAACATGAATACATTTCTCATTAGTCCAGTTGGGACTACTATACATGTTATCTTCAACAGATAATAACCCATTTCTTTGTGTCCCATAAATGTCTCTATTTTTCCCCTTAATGTCTTTCCTCAGACTCTCCTCTCACCCTCTTCCCACACTGTATCTGGTATGTATTACCATTTTCTATGTATCTATATCCTCAAGTCACATCTATGGAATACTACTCAGCCAATAAAAAACAAGACCCTGGCTTTTGACAGAAAGTGGATGAATATGGAAGATTCACTGCTGAGTGAAGCAATCCAGGCTATGAAGGAGAAACATTGCATATCTCCACTTAACTGCACTTTATGGCCCAAATTGGATTCTCATCCAAGGGATTTTAACTCCTGTCCCCGAGGATGGTGACAAGGAAAGAGCCAATCAGAAATAAATTCCTGAACTGTTTCCAATTTACCAAACAGGAACCACCATGATAGCCAAAGGACTGCCATTTATTCTACAAATGAAGTGACATGATCACTTTTTACCATTAGTCACTATCCCAGGGATGCTAGTTCTGTTTTCTATTTCTTGACTGCTAAGGACTCAATGCCAGAATCAGGACATCGATTCAGCTGCTGTCACTAATCCCAAATGGAAATGTATCTCCCTCTTACATCAGCAGTCTTTGGATAATGCCAGGGCCAGGCCACACCAGTCTGGTGGCTCTGCCACTATATGCAGCCTCATCCACGTGGCCATAGGTGGGTCCCAGCCAACTTCACCCTCCAGCTAGTGGAAAGGGGGAAGTGAAGACAGGAGACACACCACTCCTTATAGTGTCACAACTTGGAAGCTGGATATGTCCCTCTGCCCAGCACAGAAGGGCCAGAACTTGTTCACATGTCCCCATGCATCTTCAAAGAAAGCTGGGAAATGTCTTATCAGGTAGCCACATGTTCAACTGAAAAGTCGTTCAAAAATGGGGGATAACTCAGTGTCTACCACAGACAGTCTTAGGATAATGGCCATGTCTCAAAGATGTAGATAACCTGGAGTACAAAAGTGACATTAGATGGAGAGGAAAAAATGCATCAAGTGAGCAGTGCCCAAATAGAATATATGCTGCACCCTACCCGGATTACTAAGAGATTAAGAGTATTCTATTCCAAAACCTTACTGCCTTCCCCACTTCTTATCTCATATCCTTTTTCCACTCTGTCCCCTGCAGTTCTACCAGAAGACCCAGAGTAATACTAAACTGGGTGACACCCCTCAGTCAAACATACAGGAGACTGTAGATGCCGGAGACACCAAAGTGAGCACAAAGGGCCTGACACATGGAGCTGAGAGTCAAATGGGGCACGTGTTAACCAAATAATCAGTGATATAAAAGAGCAAGTCATGGGCCAGCCAAGTGGGTAGTTAAGGCAGCTGGTTCCCACATGGCCAACCACACAGTTCAAGTCCTAGACCCAGCAACTTGAAAAACATGCTGGGCATGTGTGCACACATGCCAAAAATCCCAAGAGGAGATCAGTGGAAGAGAAGAGATTATGGTGTAGTCATCCTTCATGGGGTTGGGAGATACTTTCTCACTTTCTCTGTCTCTCTGTCTCTCTCTCTCTCTCTCTCTGACAAGTGCACAAGCCCCATGGCAATTTTTTTTTTAATTTGTAGATCCTGAAAAAGGCTTATCGATGAAAGACTTAGAAGGAACTGACCTCATCAGGTGAGGAGGCCCTCAGACCTGAGGGAAAAGAGGCAGAGAATGTTCTAGGCAGTAGGAGAAGCTTGCCAAAGGCCATTTATCCATCTCTCCCTCTTCCTCTCCCCTCTCCTTTTTCACTCTCCACACCCAACCCTAAGGCACTTCTTGGCTGCTTGTCCGTCAGTCCTTTTCTGCCTTCTTTACCCTGGGTGGGAATTCTAAGGGTCAATATTTGTAGCATTCATTGACTATGGTATTGTATTTCAGGCCCTTCCAAAAAAGCATGGCCCTAGGGTCAGAGCAGTATTCCCAACAAAATACTATTCTCTAGCTCTTGAATCAAAATCTAGTGTTTTAAGACACAAGATCAGTGATATCTGTGCTTGCCTGGAGAACCTGCCCCTGAAGACTCTGGAGACTTCTGAAATACACAGGAGATGTAGAAAAGTGTGAACTCTCTGAGCACACAGCATGTCAAACCTTATTTATTCTCAGTGTTAAAGCATATTGGCCTCAGAAAACCTCCATACTTCTGCTTCAGTTTCTGTAAGCAAACCACAACCTCTCCTGGAAGTCTGCCTCCAGTAAGTTGCTAAGCTACACAGCAACAATGCTTCAATCACAGAGAGCCCACTTTTTAAACCGCGTTAACACAGGCAAACATCAAGATGTAACCAATCCAATTATTTCTCTACCTCTCACTCAACCCGAGGCTACCCGGAGTTCTTTGGAAACCATTTTGGGGGGTTGCCCAATTCGAATTGTTTTACTCAATTAAACTTCACTAAATGAAATAGTCTGGAGTTTTTCTTTTAACATCAGATATTCCAAACATCATCATTGTTTATTCACTGAAGATGAAACCAGTGAACTGCTCAGACCTGTTCCCGCATGGATTTTCTTTGTCATTTTGAACATGTAGCATTGAGTTTTTAAATCATCAACATGTATTCATCAGGTTTAAAGACATTTGGGCTACCATTAGTAGCTTTCATAGTAATCTGGAATGAAAGGATGCTTAATAATGTGTAGCAAATTAGGCTTTATTGTTTTTTACTAGTGACAGACTCAAAAGTACAAAAAACTACCATTTTTCAAAAGAAATGTATAGAAATAAAATTGGGCATGAAACATGACGTAGCTTAGAAAAATGATAAAATAATCCCCCTTTACACACCTTCCCAAATGGCTCAGAGGCCATGGGGGACACCTTCTAGGATAAGAGTAATAATGCTCCTTCCTCCCTAAAGGGGCATTGGCCTCCAAATTTGTTAAATGTAGGAAATTTCAATACTGTTGCTTTTCCTTCATCCATGCTTTCCCTGTTATCTGAAAAATATCTCAGGTGGAAGATGACCCAGGATCCAGGCCCAAGTCCAGGATTCAATTAGCCTCAAGGCAGCCCTCCTGGTCCTCATCTGTCTCTTTGTGCTCGACCTAATAAGAAATGAAGAAAGTGGTTATGGAAACTCTCTTCCCAAGCTCACACAGTGACTCCCAGCCAGGGATAGACAAGGTGTCAGAATGCCTTAGGCTGGGTCAGGACAGGATGAGGGGATAGAAGGATTAAATCCCACACTTCCTTCAGTTACTTTCTCCACCTGGCCCTCTAGCAGACTGGAATGGAATAGCAATTGCAAACCTCAAAGATTATGAGTGCACTTGAAGGTGTGAAGTCGCTAAAGTTTCATTTTCTACATTGCCGGGCATGCAGGAGGCACCCGGTAAACACTGACAGAAAGAATGCATGCTATGCCTGGTACCACCTGGCTTAAGGGGACCTATGAGAATGGCATTTTATAAAGCAAGCCTTAGGAATGCCAAGGTAGCAAAAGGAGCTCCTAGGCAGTCTCTGAAAAGGCAGAATCAGGAAAGGCCGTCACTTAGGAAAGCTGGAGTCTCAGCTCAAAGGCAAGTCTAGCATCACAAAGTATCAAGAAATCTGAAGTGGAGCCCCCATCACTGGTTTTTATAAAGGCCATCTGGGGCTAGCAGGTGTAGAGCTTAAGGCAGCTGGATCCCACATGGCTAACTGCAGGGTTCAAGTCCCGGACCCAACAGCTTAAAAAACACACTATACAAAATCCCAAGAGGAGAAGGAATTGCAGCATGGTTATTCTCCCAGGGTAGGGGGTGATTTTTCACTTTCCTTCTCTCCTTCTCTCTCTTTCTCTGTTTCTCTCTAGCAAGCACACATACCCTATAGCCAAACTGAAAAATAAATAAATAAAAGGCTGTCTGGAGAGGAAGCCTCAGCTGGGGAGAGCACACATCCTGGAACCTCTCCCAGAGGGGGATGCGGTGTGGTAGAGCGGTCAACAGTGGTCAACAGGATGCGGGGCACCAACCCAACAGCTAACGCCTCGATAATTTTAAAAATCAACGTAATGCCTGAACCATGACGAAGACATTTTTAAAAAGTAAATACTCAGGACCAGCAGATGGCATAATGGTTGGGCCACTGGACTCCCATGTAGTTGACCATAGTTTGAGTCCCAGACCCAGTGGCTTAAAACTCACGCCAGGCACATGTGTGTGTGTATGCCCAAATCCTAAGAGGGGAATGGAGAAGAAGGGATTGCAGCATGGCCATCTCCCCTGCAGGGTGATTTCTCACTTTATGTCTCTGTCTCTCCATTGAGCACACATACCTTATAGCAAAACTTTGTCTTAAAATAAATAAATAGTAAGTAAAAAGCAAATACTCAGAAATAACTACACTTGAAGACAAAACAAAAAGTCACCTCAAATTCCCAATACCCCTAGGGTTGATACTATCTTGCTGGACCCATGGCACAGCAGCTCTTGGCTCTGCTGTGGATAGCTCAGCCCTGCTTTCCCCAGCCACTTACCCTGCAGCTACAGGAGAGGTAGGAGGCAAGGCCCACCTTGGCCTGTCCTTGCTCCACAGCTGACTCATGCGGCATCTGTGGGAACAAATGCCAGTGAGATGGAGTTCATCCATGGTCAGGTCTTCCAGATTTTTCAAGTATGCATAGACTCCCCCCCCACCCACAGCTGCTAGGTTCCTGCCCAATGATGCTGCAGAAGAGGAGCTATAGGAGAGTCAGCAGGAGAAAGAAGGCTCTAGCCGCCAGACTTCACTTCCTCAAAAGTCCCAGGTCAGCACAGTTAGGTAAAAATCAGATTTCTTTAAATATTTCACCCTGTCACTTGGGGAGGCTTTCATCTGCCCATGTGGTCTCTATGACATCTAACAGCCTGGCCAGCAGGAGCTCCTCTAGAAGCCCAGAAATGGGATGAGGCTGAGCAGTGACAGCTCAGTTCCCCTGGGCCTGTGGCAGCACAGTGCAAGGGAGAGAACACGTTCGCTGGAGGATGACAGGTCCATGGCCCAGCCCCATGGTCACTAGCTGTGTGACAGCAAGTTACTTGGATTCGCTGCACTTCCATTTGGCCAATGGTGAAACGAGAACAATAACACCCATTTTGCTTCTATTGAGCTCTAGGTATAATCAATCAAAAGCTCCCAACCAAGTGCAGGAAACATTCCTGACACACAATAAATTTTTGTTTTCCCTTCTTCTTTCTAGAAGGCAGCTGGGGAGCACCAGAGAAAGCAGGGAACAGGAGACTCTTAGACCTAGTTTCAAATATAGGCCCTTAACCTCAGTCTCTACAGCAGACAAAAATGCGAATCCTGACCATTGTTAGGAGGACTGACTTGTGCGTGCTCCAGGGAAGCTGTATGCTCAGTCAGCTCCTGCTCACCCTTGCCCGGGGCCAACATATCCACCTCTACTTCCTGCTCTTAACCCAGGAGCACCCTCGCGTCTCCCAGAGGAAAGCCCACTGGAGCATTGCTGAACCATCTGCTGCCTCTGCCTTCTCGGAAGTCCCTGTGTGTTTGCTGAGAGCAAACTGGAGAACTGTGCCTTCCTCCTTGCAACTGGCATCAGTTCTACCCAAAAAATGATGGATAGTGTAGCCTCAATTTAAAGCAAGACTTAAAGGGGACAGCCAGGTGGCATGAGGTTAAAGTGGCTGGGTCCCACAAGGTTAATTGAACGATTCAAGTCTTGGACTCAGTGGCTTGAAAAAAGCATGCTGGGCATGTGTGTGTCCAAAATCCCCAAAGAATGGAAGAGAAGAGACTGTGGCATGCCCCTGGGGGTCACTTTCTCACTTCTCTCTCTCTGTCTCCAGTGAGCACACGTGTCCTATAACCTTATCTTGTCTCTATTACCTTAACTCTAAGTGTGTGTGTTTTTTTTTTAGAGAGAGATTTTTGCTATAGGATACGTGTGCTTACCAGAAAGAGAGAGACAGAAAGCAAGAAATCACTCCCCAGGGAGGATGGTCATGCCACAATTCCTTCTCCTCCATTCTCCTCTTGGGATTTTTGGCACGCATGAGCATGTGCCCAGCATGAATTTAACCACCAGATCCAGGACTCAAACCATGATCAGCTATGTGAAAGTCCAGTGACATAACCATTATGCCATCTGCTGGTCCCTTGCTGTGCATTTTTTAAGATGTTGTTATCTGCAAGGCTCTGACCCCCTGATGTCTGGAGGTGGGAAATTGGGTCTGGCTACCTGGAAAGTTCCTGACAGAACTGAGGACCAGTGGGTCCTTCTGGAATGAAGGGTTAGGGATGGCCAGGGAGATTCTGCAGGGACGTACCAGCTCCGGGGCCGCCCGGAACAGTGAGCTGAGAGGGTAGTGCAGGAAGTTGAGGCAGGTGGCAGTGTAGAGGTCAGCGTAGCGGATCAGCTGGCTGGAGAAGAGTGTCTGACGGAAACCGCAGCGGAATAGGCTTCCCATGGTGCGGTAGCACAGGTCCAGCTCCCGGGTGACCCTCTGTCCAGAGTGCAGCATGCTGAGTTCCGATCTTAGCCCATCTCGACCTCCACCCCCCACAGCACTGGCCACCCACCCCGAGGGCAAGTCTCTCCAGCCCCTGCTTGGACCAGGCCCAGCTCAGCCCTCACCTACTCCTTCCCTGGACAGCTCTGACCTCCATGAGTCTCTCAGTGGAGACATGAAGGTCTGGACCTTCCGTAGGGAAGGGGCTTCACGTTTTAAACCCACAGGCCACGCACTCAAGCTTTTGGAGTTGAGGCAGTGCTCCACTCCAGGCTTTCCTCACAGTTGCTGCCTGGCCTAAAGAGTGACCACCCAGGACTAAAACCGCAGCATACTTCACCTTCTGATGCCCCAACGGAGAGCTTGGCAAAAGGCCACACCTCTAACCCCGCTTCTGCCCCCATGGCAGGCCCTGAGCCCCCACCAGGCTCTGCTGTTAGAACTTGGAGAACTGGTCAGAACATTGACTTCTGAGGTAACCAAGGGTGTGCTGTCCCCCACCTCCCCCGAGCCCCAGTCTCCGTATCTGGATGATAAGGGTGACTATCTCTGCCCAGCACCACTCGCAAGGCGGTGGGAATGACCAAATGGCCATGTTCCACAGCCTTGTGCTCTGCAACCTGCAAGGCTTGGCAAAGAACCTTCATTACTGGTCCTGGCTGTGCCTGGGGCTGCCACGTGGCCTGACTCCCACTTGACCCTGCTGCCCTATGGGAAACTCCCAGCTTTGCTGGCTGGTCAATAAGCCACGTGGGATTTTTTCTTTCCTCTTTTTCTCAGGACCCATCAGCTCACTGGTATCACGTTTTTTCAGGCTCTTTCCC